TGACTAGAGTGTCCGAACATCGGCCAAACTAATGGATTACATACACTCTACAAAAACAAATTAGCAAGAAAACGATAAAATATTAAAGAAACAAACCGAGCTACGAAATTATACACTTACCGTGAAAAAAACACACGTGTAGGAATCACACCAACTCCCGCGAAATACCGCGAATGTATGACCTGGTATGACACAATTCAGGGAAAAAGCCCCAAATTTCAAGTCCGATTTTGACCGTTTAAACCCTGTAAAAACGACGGGAGCCCAGACTCTTCTTAAAATTATATTATCTTACTAAAGTTCCATGCAAAAATAATCACAATACTGATCCCTGTCTCCCAGCAAACGAACAAAAGATCATTTGTCAAACGCCGGTGTTCTCAACAAACATTTTCAACATAAACGTGATTTTCTGACTTGTTTTGATACCCGCAGTTGAGACTTAGATCATCTCTGGCCTTGAAAACACTAGCAGCTCCTAGAAAAAGCTCGTTTGATTCTCTTGATGAGCACAGAAAAAGGTTGAGAAAACGACAACCTACTCTCAACATGAAAACAACGACCGTGTCCGCCATTGCTCCGGCAGAGACGAAGACATTGTGACGTAACCTTGTGCAACACTCCATATTAGGAAGTAAATTTTGATTAGTTAGCTAAAAATCCCAGCATTGGAACGGAGTTAATCGCTTCTAGGTGATATGCTTCTGATTTCAACCTATGAATTTGAGTTTTGAATTAGCGAAGCAAATTGAGAGAGCTGAAAAAAGAGCAAGAGGAAAGGGTATTTTAAGTTCGATAGCGGACACTGGAGCTGAATTAATTATCAGTAAGGGGATACCTTATTTAGCCAAGAAAGGTGTTGAAGCAGGAAGATGTTATGCTTCCGAATTCATGAGAGATCCGAAATTGCAAAAGAAAGCAATATATTATGGAATAAAGAAAGCAACTCCTGTTATTCAAAAAGTTGGATCTGAAGTAATCAATCAATTGTCAACCAAAGTTAGGCCTAATTACAAATACAAAACTGACAGAATGGATCTTGATGCTGACATGTACAAAGGTGGATCTGTTAAAGCTGATGGTTCTGTGAATGTCAAAGATTTGAATAAAGCTGATAAAATCAAATTCTATGAAAAACACATGACATTTCTTTTTAATACCATTGGTAAAGAAGATCATCCAATGGTGTGACTGATAAACAAATCAAAGAATTTGTTGATAAATGGGGTAGCCATGTTGTCGATGGTATTTCGAATGGTGATTATGTATTATTAAATCCTGCTCACTATCTTGGGAAAAATTGGAAGAAACGCTATCCTGGAAAAAAAGGTGGTCGACTTGACATCCACAAAGTAATTGGCAAACTACCAAAACCTAAAGCCGGTTTTACTCCTGGAAGGTACAAATATATGGGTCCATATAATCCACTTGAAAAACAATTAGAATACGACAAAAATACTGGTGAGGTCACCAAATGGCATGTACAACCATATAACAAAGTAGATGAAATAGCTGCTTATCATGATATTTGTTACGACATGGGTAAAAACAAAGGAGATTGTGACCGACAAATGGTTGCATCATTAGACGAAATACCTTATGGTCAAATGCCAAAATGGGGATCAACAGCACGATTCTTGATTGACAAAAAACAAAAACTAGGTCTTGGTGTTCCAAAAGACGGAAAAAGCCGTCGAGTAACTGGCAAGAAAAATTAGCTGATGAATTACATAAACCTATAAAACGTAACTTTACTCGACGGCGTGTAATAGTCAATCATATTGATGAAATAAGGTGTTCTGATTTAGTCGAAATACAACAGTTTAGCAAATGGAATAAAGGCTACAGATATCTTCTGATGGTGAAAGGTGAAACTGTTACTGAAGCATTCAAAACCATCTTCAAAGAAGGCAGAAAACCTGAGTACTTATGGACTGATAAGGGCAAAGGATATTATAACAAACATTTGAAAGATCTGTTAGAGAAAAATGGTATACAGATATATTTTACTGAAAATGAAGAAACATCATCTGTTTGTGAAAGATGGAATAGAACCATAAAAACCAAAATGTGGAAGCAGTTCACTGTTTAAGGTAATACGCAGTATTTAGACATTCTACATTGAAAATGTAAAGGAGCGTTTGATTAAAAGAGGTTTTCACGATCATGTATGTTATACTTTTGATAGCTATTTTTTCAAAGGTGGAGTTAATGGAGATATCGAAATATTTGAAGGTAAAACAATCTTCATTGAAGAATATTCAATGATTCCAAATGAATGGATGATCAAAATATATCAAGCTCATTGTAAGTATAAAAATAAGATTTATCTTTTTGGAGACAGCCAACAATGTTCAAGTGTAGAACCAGGATCACAAATTCATTACAATTATCATGACTCTGAAACCATAACTAAAACAACTGGTAAACAGAAAAAACATGAATATATTGAAGGATGTGGAAGATATGATAAAAAGAAACAAAATATTGAATAAGTTTTTGAGAAACGGAAAAGTATCCTATTATTTCAACAAGGTGGTTAAATCATTATACAAGAATATCTGTTATCTCAATGAAACAACACAATTAAGATGTTACAAAACATTGTTGTGATAATTTCACATCTGGAAAACAGTATTTAGAAGTGGACTTCTTATGTCATGTGCCAATATGCCTGTAATTGCAACTGCGAATATCAAAGATGAAGGTATATTTAATTCCATGGAGTTCAAGATCACAGATTTTAGGTATGTAGATGAAGATCATGAAAAAGAAATAGTCGAATTGATAATAAATGGTTACATATAGATGAGTTCTGTAAATCATTTCTACCTGCATTTTGTAATACTGTTTATAGATATCAGGTTGCCACAATTAATGAACCATACAATATTTATGATACCAATAGAATGGAAAAAAAAAACAATTATATACTGCTCTTTCGCGAGCAACATGTTTAGAACATATTCATTTGAATAATAAAGAGATCAATAATCGCTATATTGTTAGAAAACAACCAGATCTTGAACTAGTAAATACCAGATTCAACAGTTTATATCAAAGGGGCCAGATTTATGAGGTCACATTTGATAGATCAGGTAAGATATATGTAAGTAGTACATGTGATAAACTTGAAGAAAGATTAAAACAACATGTGTCAAACAAGAAAAGTGCTGTTTACAAATATCGTACTATGGGTCCACAATTTAGACTCATAGTTAAAGCATCAAGTGAATGCAAGAAATCTCTTGAAAAAGTCAAAAATACACATATTGAATATTATGCTGAAAAGTATGGCGAAAGATTGATAAATAAAAGATCAAATCCTAATAAGAAAAAGCAAGATAAAAAACACAGTAATAAGGAACGTAAAATTCAATATCAGATTGAGAAAGAGGATGAATTAAGACAGAGGATAGCTCAATTAAAAAAAGAAGATTGAGACCAAAGATAGTGGTAAGTGTTATTATGATGATGTTAAAATTCATGGAGAAAGAATTTATTCCAAAGCCAGATATAATGAAAGTACAAAAGAAGATGCTTTATCTAAAATCAAAGATAGGAGAGATGAAAAGACCAAAGAGTTAACTCTAAATTCTGATTAAATAGTATATTTTTAATTTGGTGATGGTTCTTGTAAGCCATTTGATATCTCCCACACCTTTGGGAACAGTACTTTACATTGAGTCAATGTGTAGTACGGGGATTTGGGAGAATTTTTGGAAACATATAGTTTTGATTATGAAATGGTAATGGTTAAATGGTGCTCATCACTTTTTTAATGACACTTTACTGATAAATCACTCCATCGTCATTTTCGCTAACGCGAAACCGCTGTATATGTGCTAAAGCTCATTTTTCGCTATGACTCTTCCCGCCTGCGCGATACTGGCTATTCTGCTTCTCCATCCCCTGCTCCATACAACATCGTTTTTGCAAGCAAAAACTTGCTTTAATCTGCGCTGCCAAGAAGCAGGCTAGGGCTTCGCATGGTGCCGCGTGTTAGTGATTTGAATTTGAAACTTGAACATATAGTTTGGGGTTTTTCGCATGAGATATAGCTGGCGTGACTTTTTGCACTGACAGCACATGCAGTGTGCGTTATATCGGCTAAAAACACAAGCCATATAAGATAAACGTTTTCAGTGCTGCCCAATATCATTGAGTGAAGTCTTGGGGCTTTGGTCCCGCTTAAGCTGCATGCACAGGTGTAGATTTAAGTTATTCATCACTAAATTTTGGACATACCCTTCATGCCACTGGTAGGAATCTGATTCCTTATACTCCCGACAGTCTGGCATAGGCCGACTGCTGCTGCTAACTGGTGGGTCTGGGAGGACTGCTGTTTCTAAAATGAAATGAAATGTAACGAAGTGCAATGCAATGCAATAAAATAAAAGGAGAATAATGTTTGCTCCTTCCATCC